GGGGGAATTTTTTTTTAGTTTTACTACAAATTGTAGTCGGTTAAAAAGTATAAAGAGTGAGTGGGTTATTCTCACATAACCCAGTTCCTCTCCATACTTGCAACTATAATTTCATTTTATTTAATAAATGTATTATTTAAAAAGTATATAAAATATACAATTATTTTATATAAATAGAAAAATAATATTTTATAGAATGTTTATCATATTACATATAGCCTATATATATGTTTATATATTTTAAATTATAATACTGAGAGTTTTTGCACATTGAAAGCATGCATCATTACAATAATCCTAGTTTCTCAGAAGCATTTATTTGTGGGCAAGACAACTAATCTGTGACAATCCTTGTATAATCCTTTTTTTTTTATTTGTTTGTGCTTCCAGTTCCTCAGGTTTACTGCAAATGCTGTCTGATGCTTCATCTCTGCTCAATAAGGCTACTCGTTTTAGCCGGGTTTTTTTTTTTTTTTACTATTCTATATAAAAAACACAATAATTGCAATCAACAATATCATGTTTTTTTTTTCAACCTACAATAAAAAATGTCCTACCTTGTTCTGAAAATCAGACCTGTCTGCTCAGGAACTACTGGTAATGTAGTTTAAGAATTTTCTATGCTGCTTTTCCATCCTGTACATAAATATACACATGAGTAACATCTCATCAACAGGAAAACCCTTTCAAATGTACTACCACTGAAATAAATGTGTTAAAATCATGGGTGGCACTTTTTTAGGTAGAAAATAGCTATCTGTATGTGCAACCGCTGTAACCAATTTCTAAGATAGGTACAAGTACAACCTTTTTGTTTGTTTGTTTGTTTTTAACTCAAACTCACACTGGCACTGCAAAAAATGGTATACAAACATTTATAAACATATTTTAATCTAACATTATTTTATGTAACGATAACCATAATATAAAACCATATTATTAAGCTACACTATTTACTTTTTTTTCCCCACATTTTTTGGTTATCCATATGAGGTCAATTTGTAGGCTAACCAGAGGCGGACAAAGTACAC